TGTTTCATATATTTTTATATTTTTTTTATAAGGTCAGTGAGCCTGAGCCTAGTACATTACAGTCCTTCTATATGGTATTCTAATAAATGTCCATTTATGACAGGTATTGAAATAAATTTATAACGAAAATTTCTGGGAGATGCCTTTTTCTTTCTCCAGAGAATAATAGAACAAAATCCTTAATCCCAAATGCTTGTCTTCCAGTATTTGGGAGAGACTGAGTAAATGGAAGAATTGACAAGCTCTGAAGGTAGAAATTACTCTCTGCAGCCTTCCAGCCTGCAGGGTATTTTACTCAGTGTACAAATATGTGGTGCCATGTTGTCAAAGGTTGGGCATAAACCAGAGAGAGAAGCAGAACTGGTGTTTTACTGCTAGTGGCATCTGTAGATGAAGGAGAAAATTGACTGGGGAGTTTGGAAAAGTTATTTGAAAGATTGATGCTTAGAGTTTGAGGAGAGGAGCAGCTCCATTTGTAGGTCAGTACTTAAAGCCATAAGAAGATCAGGGTGATGCAAATAATGTGTACTTCTAACACTGCCTTTGTAAAGATAAGGGGGTTTAACCCTCCAGTTCTCCAGCAGACCTTAATGGTGTTAACTACAGATACTGTATTCATTATATTGCGCTGAAATCTTTTTCCTTTAAAGCTCACACTTGGAGCTTCCTCGTAGTTTTTCAAAACTTCTTGTTTGGGAAAAGGGGGATTAACCTCATAACAAAAAAAATATGGACAAACTCATCTGCTGCTTCTGCAGTGCCGTTGCCTGCAAACCAGCATAGGTGACATCCTAGCAACTGGGTAGCTGTAATCCCTACCTTCTCTGGGTTTAAAATCAGGTCTTTCTGAGGAAACTGGTATGTGATTGGTAATGCTCCCAATGAGTGCACGAAAAACAGGAAGGGAGGTTTTTGCCCTTCAGTAGCTCCTGAAGGTAGTAGCTCCTTTTAGTTATTGTTAAGAAGCAATATTAACATCATTTGAAGAAGTCTTCTGAGAAAAAAGTACAGTTGCAAAGACACAAGGGTTAGTAATGAAGGTAAAACCTGTTCATCTATATAAAATAAATTTTTATTTTATTTTAAAATAAACTTCACCTCTAAAACCATGAGAGGAGAACATAAACACTGCTTTTCTAGTTTTAAGCAGTGACTGAGATGCCTGAGCCAAGATGAATGCCTCCATATCACTTTATCCTGGAGATGAAGGGACAAACCAGCCTGCTGAGGTGAACACCAGAGCTGGCTTTACCAGCCTTGCTGCTGCTGAGCTACTGGGGTTAAATCCAGCCTTCGTAACACCTACTCAGACAGCAATTGCAGTTACTATGAGCAGCATGAGATGTCATTAGTACATAGTTAGGAGCATCCCTGCCATTCCAGGGAGGTGGGTGGGGATTCGTGCCAAAGTGATCAAAATATGCTTTTATCTCATTAGAGTGTGGCAAAACCGCGTAGATGACCTGCCCTATGTAAATGATGTATTTTTATTTAAGTTTCCAAGTTCAGCTGTTGATTCTCCTGCTGTGAGACGTTTACTGTTGCTTTCCTGGAGTATTGCAAACTGTGTAAATCGAGTAGTCAGGTTTTACAGAATGAGGAGTTTAATTTGTGCCCTGAAGGGAGGACCAGCCGGTGGCTGGACTGATTCTTAGTGAAGTCGTTAATTGTTCATCGGTAACCATTAGGCAGCTCAAAAATATTTGTCCTTTAAGAGTAATGTGAGCTCTGCTGCAAGGAAAACAGAGGTCGGGGGAGAAGCATGGAGTAGCAGCAGGGTAAAAATGTCATTTAAATTGAATGTTGCCATTAGAAAGGGTAATTTGTTATCAGAAAATGTAATGAAAATGTACCTTTGCTATGGGTTTTGAAAACACTTCAGATCACAAAAAAAATTTATTTTGATTCATAAAAATTGACTGGTTATAAAGCAGTATTATTTTTGGTTGCTATTTGTTTAAATAAATAAAGTCTTTAGTAAGGCTTTAAAAAAGAATTTTGATTTGATGCTAAATCACATGTGACATTTTTGCTGACTCACACCAACTACAGCCATTGATGGTCTTATGCAAAGTACTGCATAATTAATTCCATGTTGACAGCCCTGGTGTTGTAAATCAGACCGAGCTGTAGCTTTGCAGATCTTTCCACAGCCACTCCAGTGCTATTCTTCAGGGACTTTCTTCCACATGAGTCATTCTGAGTTCCCTTAAAGTCCTTTGCTGAGATTACCGAAATGGCGAACACGCTCTGAAATGAAATGTGACACTTGCAGAATTTGGAGGAATAGTAAGTGTTGGTTGTTGGTAGCTTGAAGTAGTATGTGTAGTAGTTCCAGGCTCGAGTTAAAGTGCTCCATTGCGTGTCCTTTGGAAGGAATGTGGCTGAGATAACTGGTTAATTACAGCTTTAAAAGATGACTTGTTGAGAAATAGGGAAGGATCTAAAATGTTCTGTCTAATAAGGGGACATTTTCCTCTAGTTTTAGACAAGCTGAAGAAAGCTTCATGCAAAATAAAACATTTTTCTAGTTTGCTGTTGCAAATACTGAATTTATTTAACTTGCATTACTATGTTTTACTGTTTAAGCAGAAGATACCCAATGTTGAGTGAGAATATCAACGGTTCAGTGCCTTGTTCTTTAAAGAAAGAGACTATAGTCTCAGATAGTGGAAGAAATGTGTGGTTCTATATGTAAGGCAATTTGACTTAAGGCTTGTATTAGGGGAGTTTTGCTGGTGTTTAATAAACGTATTGCCCAAGAATACCTTTTCTTGAAGTCAACAGGAATAACTTGCCCTGACTGCATTTTGCAAGTTCTACATCTTGGCATTTTCATTATACAACATATTGTAGATACTGTGTGAAGTTCCCCCTGGTCTAATTGCCTTTCGTCCCCTCTACTTCCCCAAATATTTGGAAATTAGTAACAGTGGAAGAGCTTGCTTAGGCAGGTTCAGTTTACAGACTCCTCCGAGATTTTGCTTTGAGCTGTGAAATGTCATGTTGGATTGAAGTAATGTGAGTAAACCAATGATTATGATTGCAAAGTTGAATATAAAATACTTAAAGATCAGGATAGAGGAAAGTGGCAAAAATTCTGCATGCTACTTACATGGATATTGGTGATTAGAACAGATTTTTCTTCTGAGGATAATGTTCTGGCTAGCCCAGAATTTTGAAAGGTGGACTGATTTTGCTAATTAGCAGCTTAGAAAGTTAACCTGTTTCTCAACTTGTGAATATATAAGTATTAAGATAAAAATTGCAAGATGATAGCATTATGGAAATAGAGAAATCTTTAAACAGCTTGCAGAGTGAGCATAAATTCTTTCTGCATTTCTTTGCATTTATAGAATCATAGAATGCTTTGTGTTGGAAGGGACCTTAAATATCAGTTCCATCCCCCTGCCACGAGCAGGGACACTTTCCACTAGACCAGGTTGCTCAAAGCCCCGTCCAACCTGGCCTTGAACTCTTCCAAAGATGAGGCAGCCACAGCTTCTCTGGGCAGCCTGTTTCAGTGCCTCACTACCCTCACAGTGAAGAACCTCTTTCTAATATCTAATCTAAATTTCCCCTGTTAGCTTAAAGTCATTCCCCATGTCCTATCACTGCATGTTCTTGTAAAAAGTCCCTCCCAGCTTTCTTGTAGGTACTGGAAGCTGCTATGAGGTCTCAATGGAGCCCTTTGTTCTCCAGGCTGAACAAGCCCAGCACTCTCAGCCTGTTTTCACAGGAGAGGTGCTCCAACCCTTGGAACATCTTTGTGGCCCTGCTCTTGACTCGCATGAGCAGGTACACATCCTCCTTATTCTGGGGGGCCCAGAGCTGGGTTCTGTACTGCAAGAGGGTTCTCACAAAAGTGAAGTAAAAGGAGAGGATCACCCCTGTCAGCCTGTTGGTTCCACTTGTTTTAATGCAGTCCAGTATATGGTTGGCTTTCTGGGCTGCAAGCATACATTGCTAGGTCATGTTGAGCTTATTGTTAACCAGTACTCCAAGTCCTTCTTCTCAGGACTGCTCTCAATCCAGTCTCTGCCAGCCTGTATTTGTGGTTAGGATTGTCCTGACCCTGGTGCAGGGTTCTTTTCAACACTGTGACTTGTACCCTAGCCTACTAAATTATTAATGTATTTTTATTGCATTTAGGCATCTTGGGTATTACTGTTAATCTTTTTTTTTTTGTTTCCCAGTGTATTATCTGTATAGTAAATCCCTTATAGGCTTGAAAAAATATGTGTTGTGTAGAAATTGACCAGTGCTATTTACCTGCCTGGTCTTTAAAAACAACTGCTTAATTTTTTACATCATCACTGTAAAAATGATGTTTGCTTGGGGCCAGAGCTAATTTTTTGTCATAAATTACATATAAGCATATGTGGTGACTTTTTGCACCCTCAAGTGAGTTTTATGGGCATACTTTTGTAAATGTGTTATCCAAGTACTATTTGTTAAATGTGCTTGGCCCAACTGTTTCCTGATGGTTGTTAAAAGCCCTTGCTAATGGAATGTTCTATCCTAATTCAACATGCTTTGCTACCTGCTTCTAAACTGGTAAATTGCCTAGATATCAGCCAGTAGTAAATTCATAAGCAATTTGCTGTACTTTGTTCTAAAAATTTTCCAGTGCATTAATTATTGCAATTGTACTGCTGTTATTTCCAGTTCTGTTAAACTTTATTGAGTAAAGAAAGCCTAAAGGAGACGATGATAAAATGCCAGTTTAACACTGTGTTGTTCAAGTCAGTGTTGACATTTTTCAAAAGAAAAGGACTATGTGAGTCCTTTAAGGATATGCTTCTTGTGGGGTGTACATTGGCCTTTAAGCAAAACAATCATCAGAAAATAGGAAAGAAAAAACACAAATTCCATATATTTTCAGAAGCTTAATTTTGGGATTCTCGTACTTTTGGAATTACAATATAAAGTATACCAAGAAGAAGGTAGAAGCTACAATAAATTTACCTGCTAGGTACTAAATCCTTTTATATTTTCAGAAAAAAGCCAAAGGCCAGCTCCTGTTTGAACAAATCATGTACCATCTGGACCTTATAGAAAGTGACTATTTTGGATTAAGGTTCATGGATTCTGCACAAGTGGCGGTAAGTAGCAGTGCTTTGTTTATTCATTTATTTATTCTAAGCAACAGTCTAAACCTGAAATCTTAATATTGAAAAAAAAGTATAAGAAAGCTGCCTTTTCTGATTTAGGGTTTTGTGTGGAAGCTCTGTGGTGTGTTAGTTTGTGACTCCAAGTTTAATTCCACCTCAAGCACTCTTAACACAGCACTGTTGTCTCTTCCTTTCTTGTCTTTCACTTGTTAACTGTCACACCTCGTGCTGTCATTACTGAGGCTGGCTCAGAGCCTGGTGCAGCACATAGAAATTCTTGATGCTGCTGATGCAGACAGGAAGGGGCAAAACTAGAGTGTGTGCTTAGCCCTTTATTGTTCTGCAGATTGGAGAAAGTTTTCCTTTGCCAATGCCATAAACTTTCTCCTCAGCAGAAGTTTCTTTGTTAATGTCTGCTTAGGAAATAATCTTGGCAAGAAGGGTATACCTTTGTTTTGCTCAAATTGGTTGTGACTTAGACCTGCAACTAGAAATTTTTGAGATAATATAGGTGTGTTTGTATGTATCAGACAGTTTTAGTAGAGCATTCTTGCAAGCTTGAGTTTGTTTTTGAAGCTCATCATGTGTTTGTGAAAATGTGACTGCTTTTGAAAACAGCAGAGCCTTATTTGTCAAAAGCAACCACAGTTCTTTCCACTTATGGGCTGTGCAATCCTGTATAGGTACTTTTTGCCAAGTACAAGGACAGCTGCATTTCTTCCTGCCTACAAAGACAGCTACAATTTGAGTGAGATGTTAGACAAGGAGTGCATTTTTGTCTCTGTCCTGCATCCTGTAACTTAAACACATATTCACTTATCACAACATCCCCAAGTATAATGAGATATGAGTTTTCATACTGTGTATATCAGTTATTTGTTAGAGGTATGACCTTATTACATATATGTTAGATGGGTGATGGATGTTTCAAGTCCACTTGAAACAGAATTACTCCATTATTAGAATGGCAGAGTGGAAGTACAGACAGTTGCTTCGGTGTTAAATACCTGAACTGTTTGAGGTCAGCATGCAAAATTAGAGGCAGTAAGTTATTAGAGGCAATGATGTATGTTCTTTTACTTCTGAGGGTCGATGTCCAGAACAATTTGAAAGTGACATCTTAATTGCTACTGCTTTATATAATGGCATAAAACCTCCCCAAGCTTGAATCTTTGAAAGAAGCTGATAGCTTTGAACACAGTTATATCCACCCCAAATCACACTTTTTATAACCTGATAGCTTCTTTTCAGAATTTCTGTGATTGAGCTTTTATGCTTAGCTTGTAACTGTAGAGAACATTCTGTTTGGATAAAATAATTTGGCTTCAGCATCTGAAGCAAAATTTATGGCTAGTGGGTTTAGCTGCTGCTCAGCTGCAGTTCCCAGTAGTGAAAGTGGTCTTAAACCTCTTGCAGAACAAGAGACATTTAACACCAAAGAGAGAAGGAGCATTGCAATAACAGATGGATGTCATCCAGAACCATGAATATCTCCTACCAAGAGAAATCAGAGAACAGCCTATTGCATACCGTTTTATGTTTATAAAAATCATGTTAACTGTGTTAAGCATGTGCAGTTTAGGATGTTGATTATTGATAGTGAATCACTCCACTGCATTTATCTTTTTACTTTAGGAAAAAAATAATCTGTTATATTTAAATTAGGTATTCTACTTAATTTCTGCCATGTGGCTTCTGAAGTATTTCCACATGCCTCTAGGATCCCATAAGAGCACAGTGTTAGTTATAACTGGTGAAACTGTATGGTAGACTTTTTTGCCTTATTGTTCTGTTAGTAAATAAGGTCATTCCATCTTGAATTGGGGAAATAAGAGTTAATCTTTTCTGTCTTGGCAATTGCTCATGGCTTGGTTTTGTCCAGCAAATTTTACTTCCAGTCCAGACAACTCCTGATTATTTGATACTGCACTATCTACCAGCTACAGGAGATTTCAAAGTTAATTTACTTTCTTTTCTGAACTATGTATGACTGAAAAGAGGTAGAGATAACAATTTGTTTAAACTGGACTTTAATGATATATTCTGCATAATGAAGCAGAAAAGGCAGCATTTTGCCAGGAAGGCTGAATGCGCCAACAGAGGTAATTGCTTTAAGAAGTGAAGAACTGTTGTAATGTCAGCCATCCTTGCAAAGAGGAGCTGGCACATTCTAGGAGAAACGTAGTCTGCAGCTGGAAACAAAGAGAGACACTAATCAAGTGACTTGTCAAAGATTATTCAGGAGACCTGTTAAATAAACAGTGTAGGAATTCAGTCCTTTACTGTGGACAAGATTGTCTGCTGGCTCTGAAGGAGGTCTTTCTGCTACCCCATTTAAATTTAAGTATGTTGCCTTATTATGTGATGATGCGCACTGGCAAACTAGCAACATGTAGTGAAACAAAAGTTTGAGAAATGCCTTGCTTTTTTTAACTACAAATGAGTTTTCAACAGATTAATTTTGAACAGCTGAAGGAGAGCTTTGTTTCCTTCTCTTGAGCTGCTGAAGTGATTAGTAATTAGGTGTTTGAGTTTATGATGTACTGGGGAGTGTGGGAACTGAATGATACAAACCTTTCCTGACATTTTGGTTTTCATAATTCAAATACTAGCTTCTTTAGAGCAGTTCTTGAAATAGTTGGTGGATTGGAAAAGTTGTTTTAATATATTTTCTGTGTTCCTTGCTAGTCTGATGGTTAGGAATAGATCCCCCCCCAGCACCTCCCACAAGTAAGAGGCAAGAGGTGGCAGAACTAGTTCCTTACAAAACTGTCCACTATATATCAGACTTGATCTAGCAGACAGGCTCTTGTTAATTGGAGTAACTTCATTTCAGGCTGACAGTGAACAGTGCAACATGTCCAATAACACAAAAGATGAAGATTTTTATTAACTTGTTGGGCTATTTAGCCTTTTTTTTTAGCAGTACTAGAGATATGTTTCTGGTAAGGAGGTTCTCAGGATTTAACAGGTGGTAAATTTCTAATTCTAATGTACAGATTGCAAGAATCAAATACTTGTTCTTCCTAATGGAACTGTACAACACATTGGTTTGTTACTGCGGCAGTTTTATCTGACGTAGTGCTTAATGCTGAAAATTATTTATGTAGCATTGCACTAAGTATGCACTCATTCGTTGCATAAATTATGGGAGCAGTTTAAGCCTCCCTGTCTTACTAAAAAGAACGAACAATTTACCCTACCTTCTTGAAATATTGCTGGGTTTTAGGAGGCGGAGGGTGTTGTGGTTTGGGGTTTTTGGTGGTTGTTTTGTTTGTTTCTAATTTCTGAAGCAGTAAACTTCTTGTAAGGACTTCCAGTACTCTCTACAGTTTGTTGTTCATGCTGCTTTTTGTTTAGCAAACTTTATCTCTGGATTTCAGCAGTAGACTGTGCTGAGCAAACTCATCAAAACATAAGCTTTTTGCCAGGTCCACTTGAATTCCATGTTAATCACTTGAAATAAATCTTAAATTTCCTGACGTCTGTGTGTGTCCATGCATGTGTTGGCTTGGTGGTGTTTGGTTTGGGTTTTTTTGTTGTCCGGCCCCCCCCCCCTTAAAAGTAGTTCTCCCCTTCTTCCACACACACCCTTATCATTCAAACAGCGCTCCTGTAGGCAGCAGTAGTTAAGAGCCAAGCAGAGTAAACGCTATCAGTGCCTGTCGCGGGCCTCTCAGTTGCCTTCCCATGGAATGTGGAGGAGATGAGAGAAAACAGGAGGGAGATGAAAGAGACGTGCACAGCCAGTCCTGGAGTCTAGAAATGCTCTCTTTGCCATTGCTGTATATAAATCACCTGAAAGTGGATTGTTTTGCATATTTTCATAGTAGAGGAAGGAGTAAGTAAATAGTCTTTTAGAGCAAGCAAGTTTATGGAATAGGAAGAGAGATTATTTTATTTTCCTAAGGAAACAGCAACAAAAAATGCTCAACTCCTAATCACTGGTAGTATAAGCAAAGATGATGTAAATATTTATGCTTCGTTCTGCCTTAAGCTTCCTGCTTTGTTTTAAATATGTATTAGGTATGTTTCAACTAGCTTTCTGCAGCTACTTTTTTTAATAGGTAATGAGAGCATTTTCAGCTGGGTGCACAGCAGCAGTAAATAGTTCAGTAGTTCTGATCTGCAGCTAATATATCAATCACTACATATCCTGAGTGTATTACAGGCTGACTTAACACACTTTCTGCAGAAGGCAGGGCTGCTCTGAAGACAGGAATGTTTGCACTTGGCATTGCAACCTGAAAATACCGGTTCTTTCTCATAACCCTGTTGCTTTTCTGTCGTCTATGGGGCCCACTGTGGATTTCATGGCACATAGTCTAACTAAAGAAGTGGTGCTAAGTAATAATTAATCTGTATTAGTTGCAAAGTGACATTTGGGATTGATCGAGTGAGGTTGTTTTACCTGGGAATTGTGCACCATGCAGGGCATGGTAGATAGCTTGGTCTGGCTGTTGAGTCAGTGCAATTTATATTGAATATGGCGCTGTGTTTACTGTTTAACTGAGTCATCTCTTTTGGAGGAGGGAGCTGTTCACTGTGAACAGCACTTAGCTAGCAGTAGAGACCTACTTCCGTGTGTTAACTTTCCAGCTTTATCTTTCATTTCTGATATAAACTCTTAAGCAGTGGGAGTATATGCAGTTATTTTGTGGAGCATATATGTGTAGCTATTTCTCTCCATCTGCCATCAATACCTTAATTTTCACATGCTGTTGTATGCAGTATAAGTGAAACTATTATTTTGTCTTCACGTCTAGTATATAGCTTATAATTACCATTATTAGGTGAGGCAGTAATGTCCTCCCATGTGACAATTGTTAAAATGTCACCTGTAAATAGATTCTGGAGAATCAGGTATAGCTGACCCTTATGTTGAGACATAGACAGCTTTGCTGTTACTAAACTGAAGTCATCTAAAGAAAATGCCGGAAAGCCAGCAGTATTTATTTTGACTCTCCCCTTCCACCCCAAGTAAACATCACAAGCAACTGAGAGCCAGTCTGCAGCTATGGTTTATGCCTCTCTGGCACATTGTCAGTGGCTGACCTAGTAACATATGAATTAAGTGTTTGTTCAGACAGAATGAAAATTTTAGTAATTAAAGTGGTTTGTCATAACTTTTTTAAAGTACATAATGCTTTCTTGAAGATTGGCTTTAAACAGGATGTCTCTGTTGTTCAAAACTGACATTTTGCATTAAAAACTGAGTGAAAGGATCTTCAATGCATGCTGAGAGAGCTGTGAAAGATTTTTATTAGATTGCTTTAATTAACTACTTGTTATTCCAAGATGGTCTTCACTAACACATAATTTGTTGTTTTTTCTTGTTTCTTTTTTTTGTTCTTTCTGTGAGATTTCTTTATTGATAATTCAGTGAAAGTAATTTATTTTTCAGCACTGGTTGGACAATACAAAAAGCATTAAAAAGCAAGTAAAAAGTAAGTGTTCTTTCCATTTTCTCCTGGGATCTCATATTGAAAATACAGGAGGGAAAGAGTTGAAATGGGTGGTGAAGAACATTGTTCTGTAAGGGGTGACAAGATCCAGGAACAAAAACCCAGCATGGTGCTGCTGATTGTTTAATGACCTCTTCCCTCTGTAGCTCATATTACATTAGTCTAATGTCCTTAATTAAACATGGTATAGGCTTATTAATTGTAGTTTAGATGGGGTCAAGGCAGCTGAAGATATTTTAGTGTTACCGGTCGTTATCCTGACTATAGGAAAACTTGTCTTGGAGCCTCCATCCTTTGAGGCAGTCCTGAATGTCTGAATCTGTGTTTGGTCCATCAAGTCCTTGCTTGCTGCACAAGGGTTTATAGTGTGGCCTGGTTTCAGTGGTGCATGCTTGGGTAAGCTGTGACATTGGCTGGTTTTTGTTTAGCAACTTCCTTGCTCTGCACTGTGGGAAGTCTTCAGGGATTTGTGGTACTGTGTTAATGCAACAGAGATTTTGGAAGCACCAAGAGAGAGAGAAAATTCCTCCTGTCAAATGCAAGAATCAGCAGAGCGCTGCACATTTTTAAAGACCTGTTAATCCATCCTTTTGCTGAATTAACTCTTTGATTTCCAGAAACGGTGATTGTCCCACAGCAGGGTCTGTTAAATATGTGTCTGAATTTCTCTGGAATAAAGGGGCCTGAGTTACCAGAAATGGGTATTTCCCAGACTGGGAAGGTGTAACAAAGAGGGTGCCTAGGGGTTTGGTCTTCAGACCAAATGGCAGAGTTAAGATGCTCAGCTTTCTTGGTGATGGGTAGAGTCCTTAAATATAGGAATTAACCTAGCCTTTGTGTGATTTTCGCAGGACAAATCAACTTAATGTTGGATTGACTTGTAACATATCAAACTATTTTGTGTGTATATTTAAATGTCCTTTCACCTTGATGTTTTTCATGCATTTCCCTGTCACAAATGAATCCCTGCCTTGAGACATTGTGGTAGGACAGAGCCAATTTCAGTCAAGTTTTGTGATGTGATTTCATGTAGTAAAAAAAAAAAAAAAAGAATGTTGAATGAATTCTACTTTGCAGTTGGCCCACCATATTGTCTACATTTTCGTGTGAAGTTTTACTCATCAGAGCCCAACAATCTACGTGAAGAGCTAACAAGGTAAGAAGAATTTTATGTGAGAAGGGTACCCAGGAAAGGCCAGGAAAATGTTTTTGTGGTATTTATCTAAACAGTTGTGTGATGTTTTGGAGAATTCCTTAGAGCTGCTTGCTTATTTGTTTGTGGTATTTTTTTGTAAATGCTTCTAATCTAGTTCTCATGAAATAAATGAACTGTAATACAAAGAGATCTATATATTTACTATATTGATGCACCATTTTCCATTAGGCAATTCTGGCAAATAATCTAAGTAGCTTATACACAGTGGACAAAGATTTTCATTGAAGAGAACAGACATCATTCCTCTTTCTTTATTCTTCTTAAGTTGCATTTAATTTCAACTGTGTGTAGTCATCCTGTTTCTTTAGGCAGAAAAGTATCGAATTGCACGTTAAAGTTTATCTTTGGCAAAAGGTCACTTTGAAGTTTCACTTTGCCACTGTGAAACATTTCATTCATCTTGAGTTCTGCCAGTCAGACCTTGCTACACAGGTTTTAGCAGGGCAACCTGAAACCTGAGGGCCTTTTAAAGCCTGTCTGCCTGCTTAGCTAATCCCCCAGAATAGGAAAGTAGCAAGTCTTTCTTCTGTCTCGAGGCCATTTTATGCCCTAAAGAAGCAGCGGGAAGGGGAGCTCTGCCATGGTTATGTATATCACTAGCAGGGGGTTTCTGAGGGTTCTACCTTCTCTTGGTGCAGCTGGGGCTACTTTTCAGTTTCCACAGGTGCAGCTTGCTAATGTTTTCTGCCAGCTTTCCATGAGATGCCACCAGTCAGAGGTCATGTAACACAGCCTCAGCATGGGAAGTATGCTTGAATTGTTTTGCAAGTGTTATGTGGCTGATAAGCACAGACTGGACACACGCACTATACACTGGAGGCCTGTGCTCATTCTTTTGGTATCTAGGGTCGGCACCAAAAATTTATTCCTGTAGGACCTGTAAGAAAATGGCCTTCGTCTGTTTTGTGTCTGTGTTTGTGAGTACAAGTACCATAGGCATATGTTAAAACAGAAGCATCATCTTTGGTTTTGTGTGGATGGCTTCCGTTCAACTATAGTAGAATTCAAACTGGATACCATTGCAGAGCCTGGTGTTTTAGTTGATGGGACAACTGCTTGTCTTGGTAAAGGAAAGCTGTGTACCAGGGTGGCTCAAGAGGGCTACTCTCTGTGGGTATTGGATAGGAAGGATTGGTGTTGCACACCGAAGGGACATTTGTATTCAATATTTGCCAAATTTCTAAGTAAGAAGAGTATTGAATAAGCAAGGCAGTGAAGGAAAGCTGGCTCCGAAGAGTAAAACATTTGAAAAGGCTGTTTTGTTGTTTTGGTTTGGGGTTTGTTTGTTTTTGGTTTTTTTTGCTTTGGAGTCAGCTGAAAGCATTAGATTTCAACTAAGCAATCCATATTAAGTACATTTATTTTTGAGATACTTTAAAATATTCATTCTCTTACAAGATCTGTATAGCTATGAATAATGAAGAAAATGTGGAAGATGTAAGTTGTTCTTTGTCCTAGTAGGATCAGGAGAGGGAAAAAGAAGACGGGTATTCTCTTTCTTCTTCCATGCAGCACTGTAGGTTAGCTTGTGACAACTTCTAGTTTTGGGTTTACTTCATTTGAAATGTGTGCAAAGCGTACAAACCCAACTGATAAAGCCTTAAAAGATCACAGTGCAGTTTCTTTAGTCTTGAAAGCCCATGTAAAGAGTAGAAAATGTTTTTATTTGTCAGGCTCTGACTTCCTCCCTTAGGCTGAGTCACACGTTGGAAGTATTAATAAATGACATTTATTTCCTATTTAATCCTACAGGTATTTATTTGTTCTGCAGCTGAAACTGGATATTCTTAGCGGAAAGTAAGTATTACTGATAAACAGCCTTTTAAACAATTACAGTATGTTTAGCATAGGATTTATTACACTTAACATTTGGATAATTAATAAGTTTTGCTAAGTAACATAATGTGGGGTTTTTTTTCTTCTCTAAGATATGACTTTTCTGTGCATGACTAGCAGCAGAGGAATGCTTAAATAATGTGCTTCTCTTAAATAATGTGCTTCTCTCGTGTTAGTTTGCTGAAAATCTACTAAACCTTTTTTCATTTTCTTATCCCAAACTATTGCAGTTTCTCACTGTCAGGTGTATGAGTTTTCTGCTAAGTAGTGTCAGCTAAGGGTTTAACAATGCACTTGTCTTACAACAGATTGGAATGTCCTTTTGACACAGCCGTCCAGCTGGCAGCTTATAACATGCAAGGTCAGTAGGTACAGGTGGGGAAGGATGAAGTTGTATGAACAGCTTTGTGTGTAGACTCTTATTACTTTTAGTCTGTCCTTGTTGTATCCAGAAAATAGATTTTGTGCAGCTGATAGCAATCCAGTATGAAACAGCTCTTTTTGATTGTAATTTTTATTGTAAGCATGTATAGAAAATTAGTCGATTCCCTAGGAATTGTAGCAAAGAGGTTCTGAACAGAAACAGCTTTGCCCTAAACTTGTTTTCTTAGGTGTTTGTGTGCAAACCCATCCACTTTCACACAAGATATTAGTTCTGCAGCCTTTGTGAATTGCTTTGAGGTAGTAACATAGTTCCCTATTTTTCATTGTAGTTTCTGCCATGTGCTTTATTTGTTGTACAAATTGGGTACAAAATTATTTTGGTTCTGCACTCCATTGAAAAATCTTGCATACAAAATCCACCACCTTTTGACTTAAGCTTATTTGTAGAAACATGTAGAAAACATGTTAGTGCGCCATGTCTCAAGCTGGTACTTGAGCATTTATGGTTGAACTGCACTTGCTGGTATTTCAGATCCTTCTTCAGTCAAGAGGTGACATACTGTCATTTCATAGCTGTACAGCACTATGTTTCAGCCCTCTGAGACTCTTATGAATGAGTTGTCTTTAACTTTTTATTCCAGCTGAGACTCCAGCATCCATGGCTTCTCTTAGAGCTGTGGTCTGACCTTCAATTGCTTGTATAGGTTGTACATCACTGATCTTAATGGACGATGTCTGCTGTTCGTTGGATGAGGGTGTGATCCTAGCAAATATGAAATTTTCTGTTGTTTCAAGCAGGGAATTAACAAAAGAAAGTGAAGTTTTAGGAACGTCTGCTAGAGCAGGCATTTAGGTCCTTCTTGGAGGATACAGTTAAATGGCCTTATTCAACCCAGTTTAAATTTACAAAAAAATCCCTGAACCTCAGCTGTAAAGTCCTCTTTGATAAAGAGACAATTTGTAGATGTGCCATGTGTTTGTGCTGCACAAATTCTCTATACAACATTCATCTTATAAACAAATGCACTGTTGTACTTACTTTGCAGGGCTTAGGTAACATGATTAAGTCACTGAAATTCTTTCTTGTACAGATGTTTTCCAAAACAGATTTTGTTCTTCCGGCAGGAGCTACTAATGGCTTTTATCATGTGTAGGTATAGAAAGCTGGGATTAAACTGTAAAGGTACCTGCCTTTTAACCTGCTCTTTTGTGTGGAAGGAAAACAGTTATACTACATTCCATAGTTTAAAATATTAGCATTGTTAGAGCCTTAAGATACGAGTTCAGTGAATAACTTTTGGAAAAAACAAAGTGATCTAATTATGTCATATATCCATTGCTTTTTGTGTTGGTCTTTTCTTTCCTCTCTCCACAGTCCTTGTAGCAGGGCTTTAATCTTACTGTCTGACAGCTGTGTACTTTTATTTAAATCAGCTGGAACCTAAGCTGGCTTTGACAGCATTCCTTTCAACAGAGGCAGGCTCTTTAGTGGGAGTAAATTATTGTAGAACTACAGACTTCCTCAGTCAGCATTAAAAAAAAAAGGGGGGGATAAAAAGACTCATTATGCTGCAGTGTTCAGAAATCCAAGAAAGGGGTGTTTAGAGTTTGTATGTAGTTTCTGCACATATGAATACTGTGCGTGTGTGTTTGACTTTGCCATGTCATCGCAAAGGTGTCACTTTTTTTTTCCTACACAAACATAGGTAGTTTCTTTTTTCAAGCATAACAATTATTGGCCTGTATGAGATACCAAGGACCGAGTTACAGAATTATTCCTAAATTTTTGGACATGAGCTGAACATTAAGAAACTGCTTGAAATTAAAGAGAGGAGCAAATGGTTTAGTGATTCTGAAAATCAGGACCTTTTTATAAAGGTTTCTAACCGTGATTTTCAGCATTTTAGGCATACATCAGTCTTCAGAAGCTGGACTTGTTAGCATCTGTGGAAGGGGGTTGTGCTTTCAATGTGGCACACCCGTTGACTAGTATGTTCCATATGCTCTCTAAATAACATCTCTTATTGCCCCTATTGAGCGTGCAGCAATGGACTGGATGACCCATTTGACTGACCCAGTAGAGCATTTATTATGTTCTTAGGTGAAAAGGAGAGCAACCAATAACAGCTGCAGGATTGTTCCCTGACACAGAGTAATTATATCAAGATGGGGAAGTTATAAAACCAGAAACTGATTTTTAGAATGGTTTTATGAAGAGTCAGAACTGTTTTTGAGGTTTGAAGCTCTCAAGAGATTGTTTTAATAATTTAAGGCAAAATTCCGTTTTAACTTAAGTCCATTTTAACCTGTCATCTCAATAAAGGTATAAGTGATAAAATGTTGAAAACTTTCTGCAAGAAAGAAAAAAGATGAGTTTCAAGGATGTTGACAACTTCCTTGGAAGTTTGTTAAGGAATGCTTCAATAGCACTTTGTAAAAATTAATGCAAAGCTTTTGTGCAGACAACACAACTACTCGTTCAGTGTTCATAATTTCGCTGTTAAAAAAGATGGTACTTCAAATAATTGGGAGGACTGGAGGTTGAGGAACAACACGAAAAGAAATGTAGTATTTTAGATAAACTAGAAAAGTATGCAAGTTCCTGTGTTATTGTGGATGCTGCTTGACAATGCTGTTCTTTTGTAGCTGAACTTGGAGACTATGATCCTGCTGAACATGTGCCTGAACTGGTGTCTGAGTTCAGGTTTGTTCCTACCCAGACCGAAGAGATGGAACTAGCCATTTTTGAGAAGTGGAAGGAATGCAGGTACTAGATCTTCTAGTGCATGCTAACCAGCTATTAGCACTGATTTTTCTGTGAGAGAATGTATTAAGATGCTGCTGATGCTTCTTTGGTCCTGTTCAGAAATGTAATTCTAATATGGTTCTGTCATATTTTGTAAGAGGATGTAATGTGCAAAATTGAAGTTTTTCAAAGGTTTGAGTAAATGATGAGGTGCAGATTCTTGAAATGTAATACTTTTTCAGCAATGGTTTCAAATGAAAACTTACGAAAGTGACATTGATGCTCAAAGCAAACAAGTGTCAGCAGCATTGGGGTTTTTCACAAACTTGCAGGAAGTTCTTCTCCTCTTTCCTGTATACCGGGTTTTGCTTTCTGTGCATTTTCAGGCATCTTACCTAACAGCAAAACGTTTATTTCAGGGGTCAAACACCAGCACAGGCTGAAACTAACTACTTAAACAAAGCTAAGTGGCTGGAAATGTATGGTGTAGACATGCACATAGTCAAGGTATGTTTAACCACAGCATGGTGACCTTTGGTAATGATAATGTTAGCTTTGTCATGCATTTCAACACTGGGTTTGCTTGGAGGTGTGGGGTGGAATATTGTACTCATCTAAGCTGTGTAACAGGTGATCTGGCTTTGCATCAACATTCCACTTTATAGTATGCTTTTTAGAAGGTATAACTTTAGAGTAAGCATATCTGCTCTGTGTTAAATATGTGATTGGTGTGGCAATATGGACTACAGTTTGTATTTAGGTTAAAAGCTAAGTGAAAATCATAGTAATTAAGTTAAAACTGGCTGGGGTCCAGTCAGCTACCAGCTGAAGAACTACAAGTGAAAATAGATCTCCTGTGGAGAAGGAACTGCAGAGAACCACACAAGGAGGTCCTTATCACACAAACAAATCAAGAAACTTTAATTTTCCATTTTAGTCATCCTTATTGAGGACTTGCAAATTAGAAAAATCCATTGTATAAGGTCATTGAAACACAAGAGTTTTGTTGTATAAAATAAGCAGATATATGTTTAATTGTGACACTGGGCAAATAAGCTACATTATACTGGAGTAATTTGGATAAAGGGCTAAGCATCAAAATGAACATAATCTTTATTTTGTGGCAATTAGGCAAGAGATGGCAATGATTACAGCCTGGGACTAACACCTACGGGAGTTCTTGTCTTTGAAGGAGACACAAAGATTGGTTTGTTTTTCTGGTAAGCTCTCTCTGATTGTACACTAAGATGTATTTTAAATTTTTACTCTTTTGCTTCATTTGCAGTAGCCTTACTGTTGAAAAGGAGGCAGAAGCAATAGTGCTAGTGCAGGTTTTACATATAATGTCATCTGGGCAGCTTTTTCAGTAAGAAAATGTCTCTTTGTGCCTAGTAAAGGGCAGAAACATCTCTTTCTGCCCATCAGTAAGGACTAATAAAGAACAAATAAACCCAAACCCAGATCTATATGTATCTGGTCATGGGATATAGAACTTCCTCTGGTTTTTATGAACATGTGCTTCTTTATCTGTCAGGTACCTGAATAACACCCCACAGTTTCTTGTAAGCATTGTGATGAAATTTTGTAAGACTTTATATTGCATAAAGCACAAGGTGAAGAACCTAGGTAGCATATTTCGGACTGGGTACATTCATGGATTTTAAGTGCTTTATTCTCTTCATTCCCATCCAGTCTTTCAAAACTGTGTACAAAGAGTTAAGGAGGCAGATGATGAGGTAAAATTTCATCACAGGGCTATTCATTTTGGGTTAACCCAATCCAATTTTGTAAATGGCAGAACAGTCCTCACTTTTTAGCAGAAATATTATCTGTGTGTCTTGCTCCTCCACCATCATTTCTAGGTATTTTTTTGGTGAGCGGAGAGGGGAAAAATGGTTGCAGTTTTGTGTCATGTCATGCTTGCATTATTTTGGCTGGGATTTTGTGAAACAGAGTCATCATAGGAATTGATCTGTGCTGCATTATACATGATTTTTATTTCTGTAATAAAGTAGTATTATTTGGGCCTGCCTTTGTGTCTTTCTGAGTTCAGTTTTGTGGGCTTGTGGAAGAGTAGGCAAGCAGGAGTATCTGGGTGCAGTTTGATTTCAGTTCAACTCATTATTAGTTTAAGTTCTGATAGAATTACCTTTTTAGAAGTTGCTGACTTCTTATGAAAGTTTCTAATTAAGGTTAAATTTTGAAGTGCTACATTGGTATCCACAGTATAATGAAGCCCTACTGCATGAACTTAAAACATCCACAAAACCAGAAAAAGAAAATCTGATAGAAATACTTGGATCAGCACATTGAATGTACCTCTCAGTGAGTTACTAAGATAGTTTGATCTTACCTGCTTTTTCTGTTCATCTTGCAGGCCAAAGATAACAAGGCTTGATTTCAAGAAGAACAAACTCACTCTAGTAGTTGTTGAAGATGATGAACAGGTAGATAACTATCTGCTTAGTTACATCTCAGTCTTAATTATACAGTACTAGTTTGAATGCTCCTGGTCTCCTTTAAGTTTTGAGAATTAACATGCATGCCTTACAAGACTTTGGTTGTGACTTGGGAAGAGGAGGGGAATGAAGGAACTTAAGTATAAAATAAATAGGTTTAATTACTTTTATTCTCACCCTCTTTTTAAACGGAATACCTTGTGAAACTAGTGTAGACCAGATAACTGGAAACAGTGTGCATTGTGCAAGAAAGTTTACAAAAGGGCTGTATACCACATTTAGGGGAATGAATTTAGGTTCATACTTGCTTTGACTTATTCAAGTCCCTTGTAAATTGTCAGTGTGCTTTGTGTGCTTTAAGGGAAAGGAGCAGGAGCACACTTTTGTCTTTAGACTGGATCATCCCAAAGCCTGCAAACACTTGTGGAAATGTGCAGTGGAACATCATGCCTTCTTCCGGCTCCGAGGTCCCGTCCAAAAAAGCTCAAGTCGATCAGGCTTCATTCGGTTAGGATCCCGGTTCAGATACAGGTCAGTGTCACGTGTTAGTTAGCACATGCCTTCTGTCATTTCTTGCTTTTCTGGGGTTATATGTGGAAATGGGAGAGAATCTGGTATTCATTCACCTAGGACACAGAGATCAGTGAAATTTGCAAACTCAGTTGTGTTACTAGTTTTATTAAATGTACGGATTTTCCTCCTGCGTTTTTCTGATATATCTTCAGGTGATTCTGTTCTGTGCAGTAGGAAACCAAAGGTTTCTGAAGGTTTATGTTCTTTACATAGCATCTATAGTGTGTTGTGTTTTATATGTCACTTCATCTTGAAAGTCCACTCTTTTAAAAACTATACTCTAGAGGGATTGATGATTGACTTGTACAACTGGGGACATCGCAAGTCTTTTGACTCCTGAGTTTCCTGTCTGTGATGGTAGTGCTTCGGAAGCCTAAGATAAAGCCTGTTCCATGTTAGGTACTACCAGTGCATGGACAGACTTCTCAATGGCTTGTGGTCCCAGACCTGTCTGCAGGATACTGTGTGTTGCCCCACCAGAGTTGGTGAGAATGTATGGAAGGGAGTGAGGCAGTACACATGTACTTTGCTTCCATTTCCAGCAACTGCAGCAATACGTCAAGTCTGCTTCAGGAAGGACCAATGGTACCAAAGAGTCAGCAAAACGGAGGCTGCTACTCCCTTGGGTCAGAATCTGGCCAAATTTGAGGAAAAAAGACTTGACTGGGAACAAGAGGATCTGAATGCTGGAATTTAGTCATCTTTCTTTGTAGCCTTTGGCAACATACCTTTAGCTTTACTCTCCTGGAATTTTTACCTTCTCCCAAACTGCATGCACTTTGATGACAGGACTATGTGAAGGACAAATGTGGTTTTTCAGCAGTTTAGTGTTTTAAGGAGTCATTGCTTCAGCCTTCTGTCTGGGAAAAATGGGGTAAAGATTAGGATATTTATGGAACTCCTTCTCTTTTTTGTGAAAAGCCACCTGAGTTGTTAAGATTGGTATTTTTAGTGAAACTGCGATAGTTATTAAGCTCTGAATTTAAAATAAAATGTGATCTTTTGATAAGCAGTGTCTATGTTCTGTCATTAAAAGCAAGCCATTTATCTTACTGGTTTATATTTTTACATGGCATCGTTAGTGGGAAAACAGAGTATCAAACAACCAAGACCAATAAAGCCAGGAGATCAGCATCCTTTGAAAGAAGGCCCAGCAAGAGATACTCAAGACGAACACTGCAAATGAAAGGTAAAAGACCTTCTTTTCTGGGAAGTATAATCCACTGTGAGAATAAAGTAATATCCTTCAAAGGCTGTGTGTAGGGATTCTTGAGTTTTCAAAATGAGGTTTTCTTTGACTTATCTGGGAGATAACATGTATTTATCAGAAAAAGCTTTTGTCCAGAGCATGTCATCCTAGCTTGCCTAGCTTGTAAAGCACCCAGTAACATTGCACAGTAGGCCTCTGTACAAAATGGAAAACATGGGTCCAGAGACCAACAGTATATTAATGATAATATTTGAAATTTATTAATCAAGTTTGAATTTTTTCAAGGGGGTTTTGTCACTGTTCTTAGGAGTTGCACTCTGTCACAACCTTACAGCATGTGATACCTTGTCTCTTACTCCCAATTGCGTAGATCAAGCGTGACCTCATGTGATACCTTGTCTCTTACTCCCAATTGCGTAGATCAAGCGTGATCAAGAGATACTTCCTTTTAGATCCAGCTTTTTGGTTTGCTGTTCAAATTTTTTTTATTCTCTTTTTCCAGTGTAGAATTTGGATTTTACACATTACATGTGGGATACATGCAACTTTGGCTCTTAGTTGCCTATTTTTAGGCAGTGCTGGACTTTTTATTAATATTTTATTTATAATGTATAATATATTAGATATATAGATTGTATATATAATATCAGTATTTAACTGATAACCTAATTATATATTTTAATTAGCACTTTCTATTTTTGCAGCACTTGCTGCTAAACTGGAAGAAACAAGGTAAGATGCATTCCAGTACTTAAATTTCTCTTTGATGTTTGCCACCTGTACTTAAGTACATGTCTGCAGGAGGAGGTTATAATATTGATTAAATGCAGAGAGCATTAACCTCTTAACTGTGGTTTTGCTGTGGGTTTTGTGTTTGTTTGCTTTATGCAAAGCCTCTGGTTTAAAGCCTCCTGTGTTGCTGTCAAATAGAAGGTTTTGCCAGACTTGCTTACTAGCAGGAAAAGAGGTTTTATGACTAGCTATGATTCTTGCTGTTTATGAGCTATAATTCTGTGTGCTGCCATGTAAAGAGACTGGGTAAAAGCATGTGAGGGTGTCTTCTTTCCAAAAACTGCCTACTCTGGCTGTCCGACTGAAATATTTAATCATGTGAAGGTCAGAGACAGGGAAAATACAGTAAAATAAATATTGGAAATATATCAATGATTTTCTGTTTTGTACTGTGCTTGCATTTATTTTTACATACTGAAGAATTTTTTTAATATATTTATCCTAAATTACCCAGAATCAACATTAAGAGGGAGGCCTTTTGGTTCTTTATTTCTATACCTAAATTTTGCATGTGTAGGTTCATACTTGCTGTTGCAATGTAAAATACTCATGTGAATCTGAATCAGTTTTCAAACTCTTCCCTGAAGGAGGACAGGAAACTATGCTCTAATTAATTACCTGGTAGTAAAGGAACTAGGTCACTCAGTTATGGTTCTGTCCTTTGCCCTTGTGATTTGTGAACACTGCAGCGATCAAATGCAACCAAATTGGTTTTTAAAAGTAGGTACTCATAGATGTTAAGCATCAGGGCAGTCAGGAGCTGAGTAAGGAATGTAAGGAAGTAACGTTTCAGAACAAAGGTGTAATACAGCCCTGTGTTTTATGTTTGTAGCAGCAAGGCTGTTTCTCATGTGAGAAGGAGGAGAAAGTCTAGGAATTGTCTAAGGACATGACTGCAATTACTTTAGTAGAGGTCTGTCTTTGTGACCTCCTGTATTGTCTCTTCTTTTTATAAAATGGGAAAGTACTCTTCAAAACTGGGTGCCATTAAAGTGCTTAAAGTTCCTCGCATGCAAGATGTGCCTGATTAATTAGTGCCATCACCATGTTGTGTTGTCATGCCCTTCTGAGTTTCATGCTACTTAGGTCATTCTGAGAGTGGGAAGAGAAACTTCATCTGCAGTTTCTCCTGATAAGACAGCAGTCTTCTGATCTGTACCTAGGTGTGGCACTGTTATGTTAGTCTGCAGAGCAATCTATGCCATTTCTGAAACTCTACACTCAAGCGTTGGTAATTGAAATGCATCATGAAAGATGTATGTTGTTCCATTCTTTTGTTTTAACTCAGTACAGGGGAATGTGCTACCCACAAGGCATTCCTTAATATTTCTGTTAAATGTGCACTGTTCTGTGGTAACCTCCACATTCTCTCAATAGAGCAGGTGCAAAGTTGGGAAAGGCAAGAAACAGCTTGTTTGCTCTTGATATGATGATATTTAAGTAAAATAATTCTAAAGAACTGCTGAAGTAAATACAGAAATCTATTTGGATTGTCAGCTTGCCAGGTTGGATAGCTACTGTCCAGACTCTAAAACAAAAGATTAATTTATTAAATATATTAAATATTTAATAATATAAAATTTATATTTAGTAATGCTGTGCTGAGCTGCTGTGCACATAATTTTGAATGGCTGCTTTTGAGACTCTGAAGCAGGAATTCATTCAGTCCATTAGAGATTGTATGCAGAAGAAACTCATTAATTTTTCAGATAAACTTTATGATGTGAAACTTCAAATCAGAAAAGTCTTAGATGTGAAACAAATGTAGTATCTGCAGCATATAGGTAAGGTTTTGACAATGTCACATTTTACTGAGTGTTTAAATAAAACTATATTGCTTTTGCTTTAAAAGTGCCCTGCCTTACTGCTGAATCAGGAAGAGGTTCTAAACCGAACTGGTTTAGGAAAGGAAGAGGGAAAACTAGGTGAATTACAGAGAAACTGCATCTTGAACAAATGAAAAATGTGATACCCCTAGTTACCTGGAAAGAGGCAACTGACCTAAACCAGAAGTTATTAAGGGTTCTTTTGAGAACAAGTACTTTCCAAAGATCTTCATTAGACTTGGCATTTCTTTCTGAAAATCCTTGCAGTTCTGCCTTGTTAACCTAATTCTAATTTAAATTCTTTTTTGTCTTTCAGTACTGCAAACAATGCAGTTATGCACCAAACTAATGGATCACAAGTAAGAACTCTCTCTTTTAAAAGACATTTTTCGTGTACTCCACAGAATAGAGGACTTTTTTTTATTCATTCTTAAAATCCATTGATTGACCAATTGAAAGTTACAAATGGTTAACTACTAAATTGCATGGCAAGAAATGACTACTAATTTACAAGAAAGATAATCAGTTAATTTAGTTGGAGTAAGGAAGACACTGCGTGCTCCTGTACTATAGAAACCATGCTATTACAGACACAGATTTTCATAGGTACACAGAGTACCTTTGTGTGAACGTTTTAATTATCCAAACTACATTAATTCTGTATGTTAAGCAACCTTGAAAAAAAAAGGGTGGGGGTGGGGGTGGTGGAGGGGTGTGCAACTCATCAGCACCTGCTTTGATTCCTGGTTAGAGTATTTCTTTTCCTCTGAAAGGGAAATGCACCTGCAAATTTAAGAACACATTGTTAGCAAAAGTTCAATGTTTTCTTGGTTTAGGAGGGAAATCAGACTCCTGTCCCTTCACACACAGAATACTTTGTTTCACTGAAAAGGAATGGTAGCATGAAGTAATTCTCCTTCTGAGTATCAAAAAACAGGACTTGGAGTTTGAAAGGACCGTGTCTCTTTCTGGTGCATTTCAAATGCAGAGTGCAACAGAAAGGGTCATATTGGTGGAAATGAGATTATGGTTTGGTTTAACATTAAAATACTCAATCTGTACTGATAGATAGGTTGCTGCTCTGCCCAGCCTTTTGCCTTCTATGCAAAAGTTGTTTTCTTGTGAGCATTTACATTTCAAGTGGCAGTCCGGAGGCGCACAACCCAGAGGTGCTGGCTGTTACTGCAAAATTACCATCATAGAAGGAAAGCATTACTGCATGAATTTTAAAAGGACACAGTAGGCTGTAGCTTCTTAGTGAAACTTTGGAGCAGCATATGGTCCCAGTATGCAGTACTGGAAAAGACTAGGCGTAGGTATCCGGTGCTGTGGAAGTAAGGAAAGACAACAGCCTTGCTTTAGCTTGGTGCTTAAGAAGTGATGGCATGTTTTGCTATGTGTAATGTGTCATTGCTTCATTAATGTGTGTACAGTAACTTACTTGTTTATATTCTGTCTCCAAAGAGCTGGAATGCGAAACCAAACCTACCTGTCCTAACAGCGGTTCCTTCTGCCCCAGTCTTAGTGGAAATAGAAAACCTCCCAAGGAGCCCAGGACCCAGCCAGCAAGACAAGAAGTGGTATGTTCTGCTTTGCTGGGACAAGAATTCTGCTTGCTTATGCATGATTCAAGTGGTTGTTTCTTTATCTGCACTTAAATAAGCTGCCATCCTTGTATTCTTAATGTAAATTGACAGTCAACTTACAGTTAGTGATGATGCAGCTGATTTGTTGCTGTGAATGTAGGATGGGGAGGTGAGGACAACAGGCTTAGTCACTGCTAACTGAAAGAAAATTTCTCCGGGGGTGAAGAAATTATTAAATCAGCAACAACATTTTCAAGTCTTGGAGAGAGCTGGGTCCTTTTCATTTGCAATACTACTACTTGTAGCCCTTTGCTTGATATCATGGGGCCAAAGGACTTACCTCTATGCTTAACAAAATGCAGAACCTTGTAAACCACTATCCTTGTGAATTGTCATTTGAATGTTGTGAAATGGGCAAGCTGACTTATTTCATTATTCTGGATAGAATGGGAGCTTGAGGAAAATGACATAAGCAGAAGATAAGAGCTTTGATTTCATGTAATCAAACTGTTTTATGATTGGATGCATCTCAAAATGAGGGTGATTTGTTTGAAGATAAATGTACATATAATTTATCTGAGACTAATTTCATAGTGCAAAGCTATTTCAAAGCCAAAACTGACATATGTCAACATAGTATTTGTGCACGTCATGTTAACTTTTTCAGCTTCTTGTGCATTCAGAGGCAGTACGTCTTCTCCTTGAAGGGTAATTCTGGTTTCTATGAGGTTCCAGGAGCAGCAGTAGCAGTGATGGAATTGAGCAACAAAAAAGCTCTTATCTTAGGCAGTTTCAGCCCTCAAGAGAAATGTGCTTCTCCCATTGTTGGGCATATAAACCTACTTCGCTGCAGTATCTCTTAAAAGTATATGATACCTGTTTCTAACAGTGCAATGACAAATGTACTTCAATTTCCTAAATCTTACTGATTAAAGACTTTTAATCCCATGGATTTTGGATTATAAGGAGGGTGGTAATTCTGCTTTGTGTTGCATTTCATTGAAGTTTCAATCAGAACATACGATCAATGCTGGGTTTCTTTTCTTTCTTTTGCCCTTGATTTATCTAGTGTCTGAAATCTGTGCTTGTCTGTGATGAGATCCTGTTGATCACTCGATTCCTCCCATGGTGGTGGGTGAAAGGTGGTGGTTTCTTTATTCTTCAGCATTCTCAGTATGGTTTGGGTTTTATTCCTTTGGTCTAATTGCAAGATGTATGCTAGAAAATGGCATTTTCTTTGGTGGAAGTGTTTGACTCTTGCTCCAAACAGCTCTTCTTGGATATCTGATTTGTGCTAGTGTTCTTGCTAATATTTGCAAGGCTTCTGTTGCTTATGAAATCCCACTGCTTTTGTTCAGAAGCAGAGAGGAGTCTGTAGCCAATCTGTTTCAGTTTTGGTCTTGGTCTGCCTGTTTTAGGATTAAGAATTTGAGCCTGTCTGTCTTAATATTGTCAAGGAATCTAAGCTTACATGCCAGCTGCTTCAGTGTCTAGTCTTTCTGTAGAAGAGTGGGGGTGAATATAAAATACACCTGCTTGTAACCCAGAACAACATGCCATAAAGAAAACAAGCTGCTTGGCAATGGATGCATTTTAACCGAGAGTGTGCATGTGTTATGTTTCTTAGAGACATACCATTATTGAAGGCAGTTGTGTTCTGGCAAAGAGGTTTTAACATGTTCAGAGGTAACAGTACTGCCTGTAATAAAGGGCAAATCCAGCTGTAGGAAGAAGGCAACAGTTTGGAGCTGAGTCATCAATTGAGCTGCATTCTGGTTTCCAAGATGGGAAGTGGGGTTAGGTTAATATAATTACCAGAACATACGAATTTATTGTGGGGACTTGGCTATTAGGCCTTCAAGTCTTGGTGTCTCAATGCTGCTAACAAGATCTTTTTTCAACTGTTACTGTCTTTAATTGGCCTGTTTCTGCATGAGTTATCTTTGCTTTCTGTCAGAAAAATAGTCTTCTTTTAGAGAGAGTTTGCCAAGGATTATCGAGAACACCAAAATCTTTCGGACTGGGGTTTTTTAGATGGTTAGATTGAAGGGGTTTAGAAGTAAGGTCTTGACCTCATGAGTTTCTGTATGCTGCTTGGCAGATGCCTGTATTGGCTACCTTGCAGCTTAGATTCCTTCCTAATGTCAATGTTTCCTTTAATTTGAAATGTTAATGCTGCAGCTGCCAACAGCAGTTGTGCCAGATTGTAGAGTACTTTGCCAGATAGGAAGGATTTTAGGGCTTTTATTTTTTGTTTCTTTTTTTACCTTCCTGGAAAATTGTCTGTACAGGAAAGCTGGTCTGAATATTAACTGTACGGCTGTGTCATTGTAACTTTAATCTTTGCTCAAGAAGCTGTTTCTATGCTAACATAGGACAGGAGACAGCTAATATTTTTTTCCTTACTGTGGAATAAGTAGGGATTTTTTTATTTTATTTTCTTTTTGTTTGCTAGTGGATGTAGCTTTCACTTAACTGCATAAATTAGAAAAACAGGGAAAATAATGTAACTGTTGATGACTGGAGCCCTCAGTATTCACAGGTCACTTCCTCGGTGTATTTCATGAAAAAGCAAATCTCTGAACTTAGCTGTGGGTGACCTTTATATAAATCCTCTCTCTTTTCTAAAGGAGGACTATCCCTGAACATTAATCATTCACTGCTGTTGTGAATCCTGCATGCTTTTCTGCTTCCTTGCCTTAACATGTGTGATCTTCCCACTCATGAGCTGGCTGCTTGACTGCTCTGGCAGGGCTGGGAGTGTTATACCAGGCTTTCTGGATCATGAGAAGGTGGAATTTGAGCTGGGGGCTCTCCAGGACCTCTCTAGATGAACAGCAACAGTGCTTCCACTTTATTTAGATTTGGGTCATTAAATAGCGAATTTTATACTGAACTGAAGGAGTAAGTTTGTTTTAGGAATTTCTTTGCTTGATTAGTTTATGGGGTTTAGTATCTGACTTTACCTTGCATCAGCCTCTCCTAAAACATACTAGTGAAAAATCCTAGTGCAGCCTGGACAACAGATAACAATTCGTTGTTCATTTTTTAAAGTCTTTTAAAATTCAGCTGTTTCAGTCAATTTCTTGTCCCTGCTGCTGTGAAGATGCTTGTGCTTAAAGCCTTACAGCTTTATACCTCCAGCAAAGGGCTTCTCATAAAAATAAGTTTCAAAACACTGTTTTAAGTAATCAGTGTTCTCCCCTGCTCCTTTTCCTCACTTTTGGAGGACTTTGTTTGAGTTGTGGTATAGACTGGCCATAGCTATGCACAGGATTTCTATGGTTTTGATTTTAGGAGCTAAAAATTTAAAATGTACAAACCATTATGCCCCCATGTGCAAACTTAGAAAGCAAGTTCTTAGTTTCCGTTGCGATCTTCTTAAAAATCGTTCTTTTCCCAACTAAGTGTATATTAATCAGGTATAGCTTTAGTCAGCTTCTGCAGTACTATTTAGTCCCTTAGAAACCTAAATTGTGAAATTGTGAGTGCTCTACTCTTTGCTCCTGCATGATAATGCTCACTTACCTGAGTTTCTGTTTTCTTTCTCTTTTTTTAACTTACATTAGAATCTACATTTTCCAGTGATTTTGAGTACTATGCTTGTTTCAGGTGTACATTTAGAGCCGCCAATTAAACCCTTTCAGCTTCCTGCGTATAAAATGCACTGTATACTTGGGAGGCCTGTTCCTCCATCATGTTATCTTCTCCCATCTGCAAAATACACATGGTTCTTGCTCAGTTTTTTTAAGTGCTTTGAAATATGAAGTTCTGTTCATTTGGTAAGCGTAGACAATGTATACATGGGATTGCTTAACTTGTCATTTCAGGCTTGTTTAAAAATGTGCATGGTGCTGAGCAGGAAAGGGGTTTATTTGACAGTGTTGTCATGTACACATATTTTTGCATGCCTCCTTCTCTCAGTATTTACCTTCCAGCAATGCCCGTTTTCCTTGCCTTTTTGCACCAGTCTTCTTGTCTTTGCTTTACTTTTCCGCCCTCTTTCTCATCCATACCTGTTTACTAATTGTGCCCCCTCCCGCTCCTCAATAATCCAGGCCCTTTGATGCTGCCGACCGCTGTCATCGTGGTGGAAGCCCGTGGGACGCGTGGGCCCTGCCGAGGACCCGCGCTGCGGAGGGACAGTACACCGCTTTTGTCCATGAGCGCAATGTGAAGAATGCAGGAATGCATAGCGGTGCTGGGACCTATGCTGTCCAAACCACCATGACCAGTCTCTGAGACGTGGGCCTTTCTGGAGCTTGAGACTGCTGTCTAGCACAGGCTGGGAAAATATGTTTTAAGCTGTTTCTAAGATAAGGACAACAGACCCAAGGCTAATCATAGAAAGGGGGGGAAAAAGCTTTTATTACAAAGGCCCTTCATGTTGTGCTGCTGGTATTTAGTCCTTAAAGAAAAAAGTAACATATAGACCAGAAACCACCCATCACTCTTAGATTGAAAAGAGTATATATCTTTTTAATTGTGCTAAGGTTTTTCTTAATCATGGAAAGATAAATGTTTTATTTTTAGGTGGGTTTAACTTCGAGTGCCATTCAGGAAGTCAGATTCATAATAATGCTACACATGGAACTGGTGGGTTATAATGTGTTTCAAAAACATCTTAAGAGAGGTAGAGGATAGAACTGACCCTTCTTTTGAACCATGATTATTTAAAGATATCTAAGCTAAATGGTTGATCTGAAAACTAACTTTTTATTTTTTTTTTTTTTTAGCAAGTCCTCTTCTAAAAAATATTCTTTGGAAATGGAATAGAATTATTTTAATTTTTTAATAATAAAATGATCAGAACTCCTGAAAAGGCAAAGAGTAATTTTTGGTGGTTTTTTGGTTTTGTTGTGTTTGTTTGTAAGTGGGGTTTTTTTTTTTTTGCTTTCTACAAAATTTTCTTCCTTTCTTTTTTTTTCCATGCTGTGCTCCAGTTAAAATGAAACCAAAATATTCCAGACAAACACCAGGCCTACCATATGATT